ATAAATTAATATATCATGATTTAGCACTCAGTTTAAAATCTATATGAAATATATCCATCATGAATAAAAGGTGCTAATTTGTAAACATTTTATAATCAATCAAGAAAATATTTTTTTGGAACCCCACTGAAATAGTGAAAATTGCATCCTTCAGAAAGTAAACAAACTGCCATAACTTCCATGTTTTACTTTAAAATAATACATATAGCATGAATGTGTTTTTTCCAAAACTTTTTCCAGTCATACAAAGGCTTAGAGAGCTATATGAAGTTATATTAACTTATTAAGGACAACTCATTTCTGGGTTGTGAGGGATCTGGAATAATGATTTTACTTTTTGCTTTTCTTTTTTTTAATTACCAGAAGGTGTGCACACTCACAGAGAGAACCCCTCAATTGGGTATGGTCATACTGCAGTCCTTTTTCCTCCATTTCTTCAGCCTGTCCAACCTGTCAGGATTTAGGGCACACATGCACTCATGCCTAGTGCATGTTTTTCAAGCCACAGGGGCTGGGATTTGAACCATGGTTGACCATGCAGTATCTGACTGCCAACTCACAGTACTTAATTGCCGCATTAAGGGCTGGCCCTGGTTTATTTTTTTCCCCTTTATCCATTTGTATACTGCCTAAATTTCTTAAAAGATTGCAAAAACAGTAAAATCCACCACTATTTAAAGCACTATCATTAAATATGTGTCTAATTTTTTGGCCTACCAAGGCCTCTTAGAAATAAGAAACATGAATATGAAGTTTGCATAGAAAAATGTCATGACTTTCATGATGACCTAATAGAAAAATAATTATATAGACAAATCTAATTTTAAAAGTCAGAAGTCTCTTAGCTAACTGATAAATGCAATAGTTATAGTTAAGACTGTCATTTGATTCTTTTAATCTCTGCAAGAATCAGGATAGCTACAAATCGACATGTTCTAATCAGTGAATTTTGTTGCAAAATAAGCCACAGTGTATATAAGCCTCAACATTTGCTACCACCAATCTTAATCAAAGGGTTGGCTATTTGAAAACAAAACAGAAAAATTCTACATTCTTTCAAGGTTAGTTTCTAAACTTGACATCTTGGATTGGAGATGGCCTTACCCAGGAATTTAAGGTCAGGGTTTATGTTAAGCAGGACCTCAAATCAAGTTTAGAAACAAGCAAATCTTTCATCCTTTCTTTGAGGGGAAGGGTTTTCTTTGAGAGCGAAGGGTTAGAAAAACAGGTCAATATCCTCTAAATATGAGGTTGTCATTTGTTTTTACATACTAAATTAAATGTGTCTGTTTTGTGTTCAGTGTCTTGTGCCTTTGTCACTCTCTGTGTCTGGGCAAATGTGTTTATATTAGAAAACTCCATGAGGGCAAGAAATGTAGTTTTTCTTTATCATAAATCATCTGGTTTAAACTTCACTTATCTAAAAGTGAGAGGTCTGGGGGATACTGCACAACTGCTGACCAAAATGTGTAATCTGTCATTACTTGTCAGATTTCACATAAATCACCTGTCAGGTTTGTATAAAATGTAATAGTTTATAAAATTCTTACATGTACCATTGCAGGTTATTTTTATAAACGTCTTATGAATAAGCTGAACCTTTATTACTTAAAGGAGTAGTGTCTAGATCCCAGATTTGCAATCTTTTTTAGGTGCCGCAGATTTTATCTATTTCCATAACAGGTGAATTGACTGAATCTATAATAATGAGGTTCCACCAATTCTAAAAATGGTTATTCATGTAAGTAAGTGAGAGATAATAATTAATAGTTAATTTTAAATAAACTGCACTAGAGGGAACGTGTGGAAGGGGGAAAGTAGAGAGCCAGTAGACCAGAGATCGGCTTGCAAAGAGTATTAGTCTGACAAAATTTAAACCAGGGCTGAAAATAGCAGAGACCATCATTAGTGAGAGGCACTATATTGCTCTATCACAAATGGTAACTTTTTTTTTTAATCTCATAAAGAACTTTTTTTAAGAGAGATTTTTACTATAGGGCATGTGTGTTTGCCAGTGAGAGACAGACAGAAAGCAAGAAATCACCCCCCAAGGGGGATGGCCATGCAGCAATCCTTTCTCCTCCATTTTCCTCTCAAGATTTCAGGCACACACGCATATGCACTCAGTGTGATTTTAAGCCACCAGGTCTGGGACTTGGACTGCAGTCAACTACATGGGAGTCCATCAACAGAACCATTATGCTGTCTGCTGGTCCCCATAATGAACTTTTCTCTTTTTTTTTATTTCTTGTAGAGAAGCTTTTGCTATAGGGTGCATGCGCCCACCAGAAAGACAGAGAGAGAGAGACAGAAAGCGAGAAATCATCCCCCAGGGTGGATGGCCACGCTGCAATCCCTTCTCCATTTGCCTCTCCAGATCTTGGGCATGCATACACAGGTGCTCGGCGTGAGTTTAAGCCACCAGGTCCGGGACTTGAACCGCGGTCAACTACATGGGAATCCAGTGACATAGCCATCACACTAACTGCTGGTCCCATGGACTTTTCAATGTAAAGAAATCCTTATTTTGCTAATGTCAAGAAACATTTCATAGCATAAATGTTCCAAATTGTATATGATCAAATTATAATATCCATATGAACACTATTAAATATTTTATGACTTTCTTTACTATTTGGTAAGTATAACATGATATGTGAAGTGAAAAACATACAGTACAGGCTGGCCCTATATCCTAGAGGTTAAGGGAGCCAAATCCCACATGGCTGACCATGGTTTGAATTCCATCCCTGATGGCCTGAAAAACACATATGGCACATGTGCTTACATATTTCACATCTTAACAATATGGAGAAATGAAGGCGAAGGGATTGTGCCATGAACACAACCCATTGGAGTGTTCTTTCTTCTCCTCCTCTTTTTCTCTGGCAAGCTCTCGTTCGTTCACTCGCTTGCTCATTCTCTCTCTCTTAAACATACACACACACGCATATGCACTTTCTGGCAGTAAAACAAAAAATTAACTAGTACAAAGCACAGTGGCAAGAAACACATAATAGAAACTTCACCATTCCAATAATATCCGAAACTTTACCATTCCAATAATATCCGAGGAGGTTTTAACCCAGATAAACTAGTTCCTATCATTACCAACATGATCATCTAAGAAAAATAGTCTTGGGGAAAAATAATCGAGGCCTACTGGGAACAGGACTTCTAAAAGGCAACTATTATCTGGAAGGCTGTGGTCCAAGGCCATTTTTGCTGGCTATAAGCAGGGTCTCAGGAACCAAAGGGAGCACACATCTCTTCTTAAAATTGAAGGTGTTTATGCACGAGATGAAACGGAATTCTATTTAGGCAAGAGGTGTGCCTATGTGTACAAAGCAAAAAACAACACAGTGACTCCTGGTGGCAAACCAAATAAAACCAGAGTAATCTGGGGAAAGGTTACCCGAGCCCATGGAAACAGTGGCATGGTTCGAGCCAAATTCCGAAGCAACCTTCCTGCTAAGGCTATTGGACACAGAATCCGTGTGATGCTGTATCCCTCAAGGATTTAAAATAATGAAATGTAAATGAATAAAAATGGATTTGTGTTGTTAAAAAAAAAATAGTCTTAGTAAATAAAGAAAAATACTTTTATTTTCTCAGGTGATTAAAAGGTTCATAAGACAAGTTGGGCAGGCAGGAAGGAGATAAAGGAGAGCTACAAAATTGGGAATAAAATTTATATTTCCTATGTAGTAAGTCAAAGAAATTGATGCCAAGAAATAATTCCAAGAAAGTATTTTTAAAAAAATGAAATCAGGACCAGCCAGAGGCATGGCAATTAAAGTGGCTGGATCCCATGTAGCCAACTTTGCAGTTTGAATCCTGGACCCAGCAGCTTGAAAAACACACTGGGCATATGTACATGCCCAAGGGATTATGATGTGGCTATCTCCACTGGGGGATGATTTCTCACTTTCCTCCCTCTCTGTCGCTGTATCCCTCTGACAAGCACACGTACCCTATAGCAAAACTAAAAAATGGGGGCGGGGGGCAAAGAGAGGCAGCAGGTGGCAGAGTGGTTAAGGTGCTGGACTCCCACATGGCTGACCACAGTTCAAGTTCCGGACATGGCAACTTGAAAAATCATGCAGGGTTAGGACCAGCAGATGGCGTAATGGCTATGTCGCTGGACTCCCATGTAGTTGACTGCAATTAGAGTCCCGGGCCAGGTGGCTTAAACTCACACTGGGTACATATATGTGCGTGCCCAAGATCCCAAGCGGAGAATGGAGGAGGAGAAGGGATTGTGGTGTGGCCGTCCCTCCCGGGGAGGTGATTTCTCGCTGTCTCTCTGTCTGTCTGTCTGGCCAGGACCAGTACCCTTAAGCAAAGACCTCTCCAAAAAAAAAAAAAAAAAAGAAGAAGAAGAAAAGAAAATCATGCAGGGCACGTGTGCATGCATATTCAAAATCCCAGGAGGAGGGTGGAGGAGAAGGGATTACAGCATGGTCATCCCCCTAAGAGGTGATTTCTCACTTTCCTTATTACTCTCTCTCTGTTTTCATCAAGCACACAAGCCTTATGGCAAAAACCTTAAAAAATATATATAGATAGATAAACACACACACACATATATATATACACATACATATATGTATACACACACACACACACACACACATATATAAATAAAAGAAATGGGGCAGTTCTTTGGTATGATGGAGTTGGGAAATAATGATGACAGAGATGAATCCAGAAAATACCAAAAATAAATGGGTAGTTTCCTTTCAAGGGGAAGAAAGTCCAAGACAGAAACCTGAACACAGAGTCAGACTGGAAACGTGCTCTAGGGGCTCTCTGGTCTGGGTTATCATTCACCACCTCTTCAGGACTCCAGAAGAGAGCACTGTAAGTTATAGCCCTTTAGATCAAAAGATACAACTAACCAAGACTCCGAAAATCTAACCACATATTACCTAATATCAAAATTATACCAAATAGGAAAAATAAAGAGGACAATTCTAATATATTTATTCAAAACTTTATTGAAACCCCCTTTCACCCTTTGACAGTGTCCTAAATGAAAATGTATGTAGTCTGAGTCTGATGGTAATAACTCTTTTCAAGCTATTCCTTAAGTTTCTAAAAGTATGATTTTTGAAACTTGGGAAAGTGAAGTTAGGACAAAGGAATACTAAGGATCCATTTTGTATGCTGCTTCCTCATTTGCTTATGAGCAAAACTAGACTAAACTATTTTAATGGGAACAGAACATGTCTGTAGGAATGTAACTGCTTAATACCTACTTCTCCCCTCTCCAGCCCCAAGGAAGATAAGGAACAATTTAGACAGGCTGTGAGAAGAACTTTAACATCTTGAGATAAAGAAGAGAGCCTAATATCTTAGGGTTATGCATAGATTCTATGTGTTAGGTTAATGCAGTTATGTGCCCAGTATCTGTGTCTGTCAAGTGCCCTGTGTTCCTGTCATCAGTTTCCTCTTTCAGTGATTTCCCTTTTGTGTTCTACTGTGTAAGTTGCAAAGCCAGATTTCCTTGCCTATGCCTATCAGGAATTGGCCAAAATGGCTCAAATGTTTTTGAACACCATCTCTTATTTCTATCTAGTAGGAGGAGTGTGGGTTTGTGGGGGTATGTGTGTTATGATGTTTAATGAAACAATAATAAAACTCTCTAGTCTTTTTAAAATCTATAATAAGTTTTGAGCACATCTTATGCACATGAAAGATCATGAATAGTTCTTCATATATTCAAGCTACTATTTTTTAAAGTATTACATAAATATAGAATTTATCTGAAGTTAGTTCACAATGAATACATCTAGAATGTAATGAGTTCAAATATATAGAAAGCTTTAACAATTGTTATTCATAAATATTTTGCTGTGAACTTCACTCTAAAAATATAACTTTGCTTAGTTAGTAAGTGGTTGATAGCTGTCCACCCTCTGCAGCAGTGTATCTGAATATCCAGGGGAGTAATACCTGAAAAAGAAAACTTCCCATTAGAAGCTTGTTGAAAGATTCAGTACAGTAGGCACAAAAGATTTAATATAAGGAATTTATCTGAAATAATTCTATGAGTGAAATCTCACAAATAAGCCCTGAATAATTAGGCTCCAGTAATGTTTGTGAATAAATTTAGAGACTATTAAGGAAGAGAATACCAACTCATAACACTGTGCTAGAGCAGCAGCACAACACTTAAGAGAGAAATTTAGGCAAAGGGGGATGTTTGCTAAGCAACAGACGTTATAATGGCAATATTTTATCACAGAAACTTTATTACAACAAGTAAGTAATGTTGCTTCAAGGATAATAGCTAATAGGTTTTTTTCCGCTTTGGGGGGGAGGGGTTGGAGAGGTTTTTGCTATAGAGCACTTGCACTCGCCAGAAAGACAGAGAGACAGAAAGTGAGAAATCATCCCCTCTGGGTATGTAATGTTTGGATATACTGGACACACTGCAATCCCTTCTCCATTCTATTCTCGGGATCTTGGGCACACACGTACTCACACCTGGCATGAGTTTAAGCCACCGGGTCCAAGACTTGAACCGTGGTCGACTACATGGCAGTCCAGCAACATAGCCATTACGCCAACTGCTGGTCCCAATAGCTAATAGTTTTTAAAGACAGTCTTTGTAATAAAATACACAGTCTATCATTACTAATCCACTTTTGCATTTTGATCACCTTAGGGATCATTCTCAGTGTATGTTTTAATCTGATTTGGACATCCAATAAAACAAAAGTGGAAAAGCTATTTAATAATGGAATAATTTCTGGAAAAATTAATAAGTGACATAAATTTTGTATTACATAAACTTGGGAAATTAATCATCTTCATTGGTTCTTGGGTATATTTATAAACATTTTATAAATATTTAGTATAAAGTATTAAATATGTTGGCTAATATATTTTGATATGCCTTGCTCTTCTATAGAAAGTGTATCTGAGGAACTCAATTTTTTATATTTATTTAAAAATTTAAAACTAAGAATTCAGTTATTGGAAAACTTTTAGATGTGTTTGGAACACCTTGTGAGTCTACTTGTTAGCTGTAGATTTTAAACATCATTTAAATATAGGTAAAATATCTCCAGCGAACTTTGGCGTCTGAATTTTAGATTTGCTAAAAGTGATAAAATACCCACCAGACTTCAAAACTTAGATTAAAAAGTATAAAATAATGCAATAATTTTTATATTAACTACAAGTTGAAATTATAATGTTTGGATATATTGGATAAACAAAAATATCTCATTAAAATTTACTTACACTATGGGGCCAGCAGATGGTGTGGTGGTTAAGATGCTGGACTCCTACATGGCTGACTACAGTTCAAGTCCCAGATCTGGCGGCTTGCTTTCTCACTTTCCCTCTCTCTCTCTTTCTCTGGTAAAATTGAAACATAAATAGTAATAAATAAAATAAGTAAATAAATATATCTTTTAAAAAAATTTTACTTACCCTGTCTCACTTTACTTTTTAAAGTGTGGCTACCAGGCAACTTGAAATTATATATGTGACTCACATTATATTTTCATTGGACAATGTTTTAAAGTCTAAGTCTCCAAAATTTAATTAGGATCTATTGGGTCGTGGGGAAAGTCATGGCACATTTTTGCATAGAAAAATAGGGACCAGAATATGGCATAATGGTTACGTCACTGGACTTCCACAAAGTTGACTGCAGTTTGAGTCCTGAACCTGGCAGCTTAAAAACTCACACTGGGGGGCCAGTAGGTGGCATAGTGGTTAAGGACACTGGACTCCCACGTGGCCGACCACTGTTCTAGTCCTTGACCTGGCGATTAAAAAAAAAAAAAAAGTTAAAAGAAAAAAAAAAAAAAGCCTCACACTGGGTGCATGTGCATGCGTGCCCAAAATCCCAAGAGGTGATTGGAGAAGAAGGGATTGTGACATGGCCATCCACCCAAGGTGTGATTTCTTCCTTTCTGTCTGTCTCTCTCTCTGACAAACACACATGCCCTATAGCAAAAATCTCTCTAAACAAATAAATTAATAAAGGAAAAACATAGAGAAATACATCATGATTTTTCCAACAACCTAATACAAATAATTGTTGAGGCTTCAGCTGCCTTAATTTCCAAGCTAATTGCCATACTTCTTTCCTCAAAGACCTCACTGACTGCACAGTCTCTATAGAGGCGGGAAATCTCTGCAGAGTCTCTAGGCAGCTCAAAGCATCACACAGTGAGACAGAGCAAGAGTGCAATAGGTGTGGGGACCAGCAGATGGCATAATGATTACATCGCTGGACTTCCACATAGTCAACCACAGTTTGAGTCCTGGACCCCGTGGCTTAAGACTCATTGTGTGTGTATGTGTGTGTGTGTGTGTGTGTGAGTGAGCATGGCCAAAATGCCAAGAGGAGAATGGGGGAGAAGGGATTGCAGCATGGCTAGCCCCCAAGGTGTGATTTCTCATTTTCTGTCTCTTGGCAAGCACACGCTCCCTATAGCAAAAATTTCTCTTAAAAAATCCTTCTAAAAAAAGTACAACATATGTCCATGTATCTGCTCTTCTTGTAAAACAAACAAGAATAAATCATAGGAGCACCATCCTGATGATCTCATCTGATCCCTGTCACTTCCCAAAGGATCTACCTTTCAATACCATCATCAGACTAAGACTCTACCCTGTCAACACTGTTACAATGGCTCACATAATCCTAACACATGAATTTCTGAGGGTCACATTAAACCATAGCAAGTATTCTTTCCAAAGGCACACAGTAAATAATTCAAACTGAGATAGGAACCTAGGTCTATTTGACACACCAGCCTGAACTTTTAGTCAAACTTGTCATGAAAAAACAAGATGAACCAAGAAAGAAGGAGAAAATTCTTCCCTCTCGCTATCCACCACTGCTATTCACACTTACCTCTTAATGCCCTTTAAGCATGTAAGTAAATGAATCTTCTTCTAGACCCATGTAGAATTTGTATTATTATATTGTTGAGATACAAAAATGTACTGATTGGCAAACTGTGTGCATGACCTTTTTTCTAAATTAGATGTTTCTGAGAAGCTGCTCTCCCTTCCCAGTTTAGGCAGAGACCCAAAATACAAAGGAGCTCAAAAAACACCTTCTGACTGGGACCAGCAGTTAGCGTAATGGCTATTTCATTGGACTCCCATGTAGTCGACCGCGGTTCGAGTCCTGGACCTAGTAACTTAAACTCATACCGGGTGCATGTGTGTGTGTGCCCAAGATCCCGATAGGAGAATGGAGGAGAAGGGATTGCGGCATCACCATCCCCCCTGGGGAGGGGGATGATTTCTCACTTTCTGTCTCTCTGTCTTTCTGGCAAGCACATGCGCCCTATAGCAAAAACCTCTCCAAAGGAAAAAAAAATTATTCCAGTTTGATTTGGAAATATGTATGTCAATCAGAACATTAATTAGGGGAAAGGGAAGAGATCAAGAAAAAAGTAATGGTATACATTGGCCTCTTGTAGTAGTTTCAAAGCCCATATTTGAAGTGGATATAAAATTTAGATTTGAAAACAGAAAAACTACATATTTTAACTTCTCAAAGTCCATTTTCCCCACCTTACTATTTCCTCAGGGTAACAATTGTTAATACTGTTGATGTATTCTTGAAGGAGAGAACCAGGTTCTGCTTTTATCTCTTGAACCTTTTTAAGTCCACCACTTGTGACAAAAAGTCTTCGAGCTTTGCTGTCATGCGGCAGCACCTTGAAAAGTGAAATACATAAAAATGTCAGCTTTTTTTTTGCCAAGGTAGATTATTGCCACTAAAAAGCAATAATGTATCTGAAAGAATGTAAGAGTTAGTTTATATTTAATGTAAATATAATATAATGAGCAAAAATCCAATGATTGGAAGTGAAATGTACTCTTTTTAAAAGTATATTAACTTTCAATGTTGTAGAGATGGAATAAAGGCAATGAACATGACAAAGGCAATGAAGATCCACTCATAAATGAAAATCATGAAACTTATACCTGCTGAAGGTTTCTCTGCTACTTACAAAAGTAAATGCAAGCTTCTTTTTTTATTTATATATATATATACACACACACACATATATGTATATAATTAATTTACATTCATTCCCTGAGCATTGTCACAGCATACAAAATGTGATTTCCCATCCAGAATATACTGCATATTGGCTTAATCATACATGTTAATGAAGCAGCAAGAATACCCTGGATCTAGCTCCTGAACACCATTCCAGCCTCCTTATCCACCAATAGCCATTCTAATTTTGTTTCAGTAATATCAAAGGATGTATACCGTGCCATTTTTGGTCTTTTATTTTTAATTTATTAATTTATTTTTCTTTTTTTAACATTAATATGCTATACATCATTACAGTATACAAAATGAATTTTTCATCCAAAATACACTGTTGGCTCAATCAAGCACATCAACATACGTGTTATCAACCAACAATTTTTCATTTCTTATGTCTTATATATTTTGTGTTTTTTTTTTCCATCCTTGATTCCCTATCCCTAACCCTCTGCCAGAATATACTATATAGTGGCTTAATAATGCATGTTATCATCCATAATATTCCATTTCTACTTTCATATATATGTTTTTTTACCCCATGTCTAGCCCTCTGCCCTATTCCACTCTCTTATTACACTATCTCTGCTGTCTACAGTTGTCTTCAATCCCTTTTCCCCCAACATTTCGTTGGTCACACAATATCATAAGTAATCTAACTACTTTCAATAGCAAGATCAGCCGATGGTTTCAAGAAAAGCAGTTTTGAACTGGTAAGGATATTTCTTTGAAACTTAAAGCCTAGAAACAGGTTAGTATTCTGTTCAAATAGTCGGAACATGAATCTATTGATAGCTGAAGACAGGACAAAAGTCCTTAAAACCAGACAACAAAGCTTAGAAGAAAAGCAGCAATATTTTAGTCAAGTCGTAGAATACTGTTTCATCAGTTCAGTCTCATGTACTTAATCTTTCTTCTGTATCTGTTGAGGTTCGATGTTCCAGATTGAAATCTGGGATGTAATACTCAACTCCAGCTTTTGGCCCTACAATTAAGTTGCCCATTTTCTTAGTTTCTGAACTCTTATTTCTGTGTGTCTGCATTTAATTTTACTGACATAGCACTCCCTTAAGAACTTCTTGGAGATCCGGTCTGGTGCTGGTAAATTCTTTCAGGTTTTGTTTATCTGGGAAAGTTCGTGTCTTTTCTTCCCAAATGAACGATAACCTTGCTGGGTACAGAATTCTCGGTTGAAATTGCTTTTCCCTTAATACTTTGAATACATTTTCCCATTCTCTCCTCGCTCTCATTGTTTCCGATGAGAGGTCTGCCGTTAGTCTGATGGGATACCCTTTGTAGGTAACTTGCCTTTTTTCTCTTGCCAGTCTTAGTATCTTGTCTTTGTCTGTGGTTTTGGTCAATCTGGCTATAATGTGTCTTGGAGAAGATCTTCTTGGGTTGATTCTATTTGGGGTCCTCTGTATTTCTTGGGACTGAATCTTTGAGTGCCTCTCCAGGTTTGGAAAATTTTCTTGTAAGATTTCATGGAATAGATTATCAATGCCCTTATGAGTCTCTTCACCTTCTGGGATGCCTATTATCCGGATGTTTGGACGTTTGATGGTATCTAGTACTTCTCGCATATTATTCTCAAATTTTTGGGCCATTTTCTCAGTCTTCGCGGTGGATTTTTCTAGGCCAACCATTTTCTCTTCTACATTAGAGATTCTATTTTCTGTATGATCTAGTCTGCTTTTAATACTTTCAAGGGAGATTTTGACTTCTTGTATTATAGCCTTCATCTCTAACAGTTCCATCTGATTCTTTTGTAAAGTGTGAAATTCCTCTTTTAGATCTTGCATGAATTTCCTCACCTCCTGGAACTCTTCAACTGCTTTCTCCTTCCTCTTCAGCAGTTCCTTGTCTCTCTTCTCTTCCATCTCTGTTAGGTTTGTCATTATGAATGTTCTGAATTCTTTATCAGACATTTCCATGATTTCCATGGAACTGTGTGAGAATGAAGAGGAGCTATCCGTTTCCCTTGTGGGAGATGTATTTTCCTGCTTCCCCATATTTCTTGTGGTCCTGCAGCGATTTCTAGTCATCTGGTGGATGGTCAGTTTTTTCCCAAACTTGGAAGTTCAATCTGAGAGTCGAGGAATGTGAAGAAAAGGAAACAGAGAGAGGGAAACAATACCAACAGCAGCAAAAGCACAGACAAGAAACAGAGAAAAAGAAGAGAAAAACTTTTAAATAAATCTAAAAAAAAAAAAGGGAGGGGACATTTTCCTTTCTCCCAAAATGGCTAGATCGCAGGAGCCATGGAGCTGTCTGTCTCTTGAAGAAGGGCTGTTCATGCGAGTTTTGTATGCTGGAGGCCCAGTTATCAGTGGGACATCGTCCTTTCTCCCAAAATGGCTAGATCCTTTTGGTCTTTCTTATACTGTTTCCTCTCCCTAGAACGCCCTTCTATACTCCCTGAGCCTCCCCCCTTTTACTTGGTTAACTTACTTAACTTTTAAGACTAAGTTCAAGTGTTACCTCCTTTAAGAAAACTTCTCTGGGACATCCCAACATCTTATCACAGGCTGAGTTGGATACTTTTCTTCTCTCATAGCAGTCTGTCAAACTGCTATGAATATTTTAGTTATCTGTTTATATATCTGTCACACATAAATGTCATTAAAGGTAGAAATTGTACATTTTCATTTCCTCAATAATTTGTTAAAAGAAGGAAAATATTAAGAAATAGAGAATGGAAATTAAGGAGATGTTGCAGAGACAGAAAAATCAGAAAAGAATTAAGAAATCATGGGCCAGCAGTAGCACAGAGGTTAAGACAGTTGGATTCTACATAAACAACTGTGTGATTTGAGTCCTGGACCTGGCAGCTTGAAAAAGCATACCTGCATGTGTGCGTGCCCAAAAATCCAGAAAGGAGACTGGAGAAGGGATTTCATCATGGTCACACACACACCCCCAGGGTGATATCTCACTTTCATGCATGCCCTATAACAAACTTAAAAAAAAACAAATTCTCTTAAAAAAATTAACAGATCAGCACGTAGTATGGAAATTAAGACAGTTGGATTCCACATGGCCAACGATGATTTGAGTCCCAGACCAGGAGGCTTGAAAATCATGCTGGACACATGTGTGTACATGACCAAAATCCCAAGCAGAGAATAGAAGAGAAGGGATTGTGGTATGGCCATTTCCCTCTCTCTGCCTCTCTCTCCAGCAATCGAAGGGAAGATTTTTTTAAAAGCAACCAATGAGAACTGAAAATAAATCACTGAGTTTGACAATTTAAAAGGTGCTGAGAAATTAAGTAAATATAAGTGCATGGAGATGGGTAGTTTAGGAAGTCAGATTACCAGTAGTTGAGGAAAATATGGGAAGGGAGAAAGTCAAATCAAACTTCATAAAGTTTCAGGAAGAGGAGAGAGAACAGAGAATAGAACTGAAGGTCCATAACAGATGTTTCTGATTTTGTTCTTAGGCTCAAAGAGATTTGAGCATGTTTATGTATTGAGAGGAGAAAGCTGGTAGAGATAAAGAAATTTATTATGCAAGAAAAAACATATTTCCTAGACCAGGAAGGACCTAGGGAAGGAATGAGCTGTACTATGGGAATTTCTGCTCTCTTCCTCAGTCACTGCTTCTATCCCCTCTGTCAGAAACACCCTTTCTTCTACTCTCCATGTTTTTATTTTTTTAAGGGTCAGACCCAGTTGGTGTTCTGCTAAGGTCTGAGCCTTTGGATCCTTTTGTGTCCAGCTGCTCCTCTAGTGCCTTTCCAAATTCCACCTGCCGGTGTGGCAGGGTCCCAGAGAGGCAGCCACTAAAGGTGGGTGACTGTGAAACTCCCTGTCTGTGCTGTCCTAAGCAGGTCTGGGCCTTTGGATCTTTTTGTGTCCTGCTGCCTCTCCAGTAGCTTTCTAAGTTCTACCAAACTACACAACTGAGACCCAGAAAGACAGGTTTTTTCATATTCCACATTTCACTAGCCCACACACTGCATGTGCAGTGTGCAACTTGCATTTCTTTCGGTAATTATATAGTTCCAGCCCAGTTTCAGGTGCATCTCAACCTGAGAAGTTGTAAGAGGATTCAAACATCTGACCCTGGGTAGATATACCCTAGTCTGATTGAAAGACACATCCCCACCACCACCAAAGAATACACCTGAGAAGAAGAGCTATTCTTTTCCACTGACACTAAACAACCTATTCAGACCCTGGAATTTGATAGAAAGTGGTCAGATATGGAGGATCTATTGCTGAGTGAAGTAAGCCAGTCTATGAAAGAAAGATATTGTATGTATCCACTCAATATATACCGACTATCCACACTCTATGGTAGAGAGCAAAAAATTGGAGGACATAAAAGCAGTGAAGGTACTTAATGAGAATAGGATAGCATGGAATGGGGGGGGGATGAAGAGAAGAGGATAGAGAAATAACAAGAGAACAATAGAGAGGCAGGATGTTAGTGAGAAACAGATATGGCTTATTACCTGTTGATAATGACATGTATAGTATTCTCAACTGGATTGGTCTGAGAGGTATTTCATGAAGGGTAAAGTCTTTTTACAAGCAAAATGAGAAATAGTGATTGACTGTTTTAAAAAATAATTAGAATAATAATAATGATGATTGGGAAAAACATAGAAAAGATATTGAATGATGAAGTGGGGGAGATTAATGTCTCTGT